CATCAAAAAATACTGGAATATCTTAGCCCCAGACGTAATAAATTTTGTTCGCTACTTTGAAGTGCATGTGTAACGTCCCAAATATCCCGACTAAAATTTTCTTTTTAAAACATTACTAAAACCATATTCATAAAAATCGTATCATAAATCATAACATAATTTCGTAGCATTAATTCGAAATACAAACTTATTATCAGAGTAAAACATCCCAGGCTAGCTGACTATGGTGTGTGCACTGCAATCTTTCCGAGCTCCTCTTTTGAAAACTGAGTACCTGAAACCAAAAACTGAAACTGTAAGCACGAAGCTTAGTGAGCTCCCCCAAACTACCACATACCATACAATAACATATAAAGCACATACTGGGCCTTGCCCACTGCATCGGACCGAGGTCCGGACTAACTGGGGCCTTGCCCCCTGCATCGGAACGAAGTCCGGAAACTGAATGGGACCTTGTCCCCTGCATCGGACCAAAGTCTGGACTAACTGGGGCCTTGCCCCTGCATCGGACCGAAGTCCGGAAACTGACTAGGACCTTGTCCCCTGCATCGGACCGAAGTCCGGACTAACTGGGGCCTTGCCCCTGCATCGGACCGAAGTCCGGAAACTGACTGAACATAGCATGGCATAACATATCAACTAGCATGAACACATATAGTGCATACTGCATCGGGCCGTAGCCCGGATCACATAACACATAACACATAACACATAAATCCTGTCTGAGCCACGAAGACATCAAACATACTAACTACTGCATCGGACCGAAGTCCGGAAACTACTGCTAACTGAACGGGCCGGCATTGTGACCTTAGACCCGTCCCTACTGGAAGAAAACTCACCTGAACTGCTGAATTTTGCTGGTAACCCTCGAACTGCTAACCAACCACCTTCTGAAACGCTGCTCCTCTAACTCTCCGAGCTACCAATAACAAAGCGACACTTAGCCTGACAGACCTCTAAAAGTCAACTAAATCAACTCTGATCAAAGTCAAAGTCCTTACCAAAGTTAACCTTCCATGTTGACCCTACTCGCCGAGTCAGCCTACTAACTCGCCGAGTTCACTGATTTCCGAGTTCTGTCCTGTCCAACTCACTGAGTCCCCACTCAACTCACTAAATTGAGCCTTGACTCGAAGGGTTTGGGGTTTCGCGACTTGACTCGCCGAGTCCAAGAACAGACTCGCCGAGTCCAAGGCAATCTTCAACAGACTCGCCGAGTTGTTCATCCAACTCGTCGAGTTAGCCTCCATCTTCTTACTACTCGCTGAGTCCACTCAAAGGACTCGCCGAGTCTATTCAGTCCTTAATCCATGCAGTGGTTTTTCGAACCAAATAGGGCTTCTAACTCATATATCCATACTTCTAAGGCCTATCCCTCACGTAAAGTGGCAAACTTTACGTGTAAATAAAGAGATCTAGGCTTAAAACAATCCAAACTAGGGTTTAAGACAAAGAGGCTTCACTATCAACCAAAGAACAGATGCTTTATGACTTTCTAGGCCAAGATACACTCAGATGTGAAGTAGCAACTTCAGATCTGGGCTTCTAACTCGAAATAATTCTTAAGCATGGCATAAAAGCTCCAAATCTCATAGCCAAGGTTGATCTATTAAACAAAATAGGGAAGGTAACGATTTATTACCTTTAAATGCTCAGAAATGATCAACCAATTCTGGATCCAAGGCCCCCTTCTTGCTCCACAATTACTATCTTCTCTCTCAAGCTCCAAAAAGCTTCACCAAGGTTAGATCTTGCTCCAAAACGATTATGGCGGCTAGCGCTTAGAGTTTTGTGCTAGAGAGGCAGTAAAGGAACCCTAGGGGAGAGAATGAGACGTTTATATAAGCTCCAAGTCCCGGATTTAGGATTTACTTTGCTCAGACCAGAATCGCCGAGTCACCTTGGCTGACTCGCCGAGTCGGTCGCTTACACCTCGACCCAGATCCCGCTTGGACTCGCCGAGTCCCTCCTTAGACTCGCCGAGTCTCCCCTTAAAATTGGGTTTTTCTTTCTTTTCTTGGCTTTTCAAACTTTGGGTGTTACAGCATGGAACTTTATCCCGAACTTGTAACTCATCCTTCATCACTCTCGCTCCTAAATCCAAAGATCCCATCTTTCTCAATGAATTTCGGCCAATTAGCCTAATCGGTTGTCTCAATAAGATTATCACGAAACTATTAGCCACTAGAATCAAAACAGTCGTTGACAAAGTTATTGGAGAGGCGCAATCGACTTACATTGAAGGTCGAAACATATTGGATGGTCCGTTAATCGTCAACGAGATCTGTGCATGGGCCAAAAAGATAAAAAAGAAGGTATTGCTATTTAAGGTAGATTTCGACAAGGCTTTCGACTCGATAAACTGGGAATATTTGGTCTTATTAATATCTCAGATGGGTTTTGACAACAAGTGGAGAGGATGGATTCAATGACGTTTATCCTCATCTAGAGCCTCAGTCCTGGTAAACGGGGTCCCAACCAAAGAATTCAATATTAGCAAGGGGGTTCAACAAGGAGATCTCTCCTTTCCTATCATTATAGCGATGGAATGTCTAAACGTAGCTCTCAAATCATCGGTTGAAAAGGACATATTCAAAGGAGTTACCATTCCTAACGGCGGACCACAAATCTCACACCTGTTCTACGCTGATGATGCGTTATTCCTCGGTGAATGGTCAAAATCAAACCTCAAAAACCTAGCTCGTATACTCAAGTGCTTTCATGTTTCTTCCTGCTTGATGTCAATTTTCAGGAATCCAAAGTCTTCGGTGTAGGGGCCACCTTGCGTGAAACAACAAATTGGGCAAATATTCTTGGTTGTGAAGCGGGATGCCTCCCATTTACATCCTTGGGGTACCAATGGGTGCTAACATGAATTTGATAAAAAATTGGGATCCGGTAATTAACAAATTCCAATCCAAGTTATCCTCTTGGAAGTCTAAGTCGTTGTCATTTGGTGGTCGTTTAACGCTCGTGAAATCTGTGCTGTGTAGCCTGCCTACATATTTCTTGTCCATTTTCATAGCCCCTATCGGCGTTATCGAGAAACTTGAAAAAATAAGAAGGAATTTTCTATGGGGGGTAATAATGGAAATAGAAAAATCCATTGGGTATCATGGGAGAAAGTGATTGCCCCTAAAGAAGAGGGAGGACTTGGAGTTGGTTCTATTACGGCGCTCAACATTAGCGTAATAGTCAAACGGTGGTGGAGATTGAAATCGGTTCCTCCCTCTCTGTGGAGTAGTGTTGTAACAGGTATTCACAACTTAAATGGTAAACACAACCTATACCAATCCAATAGAAAGGACCCTGGAGTATGGAACAATATAGTAAACGCACGTAAAGAACTCAGCAAACAAAATATCAATATCGACAACATCTTCAAATATGTAGTAAGATCAGGAGACAAAACCTCATTCTGGAATGATACTTGGATTGGCTCGAAAAACTTTAGACACAAATATCCAAACTTGTATGCTATCGAACCAAACAAAAACTGTTCTGTAGCCCAAAAGACTGCAATTAATCAGAATGCATGGCGGTGGAAATCATGCCCTTTGTCATTAGGCCTCACATAAGATCTTGGTTCGCTATATAGCGACTTGTTTTCCAGCCCCCTTACACCAGGTGACGATCATTGGAGATGCAAATTGACAAAAGACGGAGTGTATACTGTGGAGTCACTTCGTAAAAAAATTGGCCTTACATCTCACCATGCTACACAATCTTCGATCACTTGGTGCAAACTTGCACCAATAAAGGTAGTAGCATTTATATGGAGAGCTTCTTTGGGTCGGATTCCTACATCATCGACTTTAATGAGTCTTGGGTATCAACATTCCATCCTCTCTATATGGATCTTGTGTTGGTGCTGATGAACAGGTTGATCACCTGTTAGTTAACTGCCCTTTTGCTACTTATGTGCGCGAGATGATTTTTACCTGGTGTGGAATTTTCCCCCCTATGATTACAGGTGTAGGTGAATTAATTCAATTTGCAGCAACATGGGGGAACTGTATGAAGCAAAGAAGGAGATTCATAGTCATATGTTATGGACTATTATGGGGGATTTGGAAATTTAGGAATGACAGAATATTCAATGACACATTCACAACACCAAGAAGAGGAGTGGAAATTATCAAGTCAATGTCGTTCCTATGGATCAAAGTGAGAGGTTCTGGTAATTTTTGTAATTGGGACGAGTGGAGATTGTCTCCTTTTTCTGTTTTGTAAACTTGGACGTTCTTGTAATTTTTTCCCATTTTGCCCCTATTTAGTTTCTTGCTCGACTGGGGCATTTTAATAAGGTATGGCCGTTTCCAAAAAAAAAAAAAATGTGACCAAGTATAAAATGTAGAGTAAGTTAAAGAAATGATACATGTAGTTTTTGGTAAATTTTGAGGTTTCAGTTCAACTTTCAATTTTCTTACCTAGACGGTCTTTGTTGTTGCAATTTTCACAATTTTAGCCCTCTTTCTAGCACTAATTAGGTGTAAGGTTTTTATAAAATGACTATTTTTTTCTTATTTTCCTATTTTATTATTATTAAATGAAAAAGTCTGCCACTACACTTACACATCATCAATATTTTCCGGTTATCTTTTTCAAAAATCAACGTGATACCTAGTTAGAATTTGTTTCTTGTTGAATGTGTGGTAAATGAAGAATTGTTACGAAAGAATGCTCCCAACGGAAGATGGATGGACGCACGTTCGCCGGAGGAAGAAAACATGAACATTGAGAGAGACACGACCGGAAATATCGAATTTCTTCGTCACCAACATACCGACTGGCGCAACTAGGGCGGAATTCAGAAACATTTTCTCAACCTTTGGGAAGATCTCTGATATTTACTTTGGTGAAAGAAGAGGAAAAAACGAAAAGAATTTTGGTTTCATTGGATTCGAAGGGGTTTATAATCCGAAAGAGATGGATACTAAGCTAAACGGAGTCAAATATAGGAACGATGTCCTGGAGATAAACCTAGCAATACACGAATGAAAAGCTACAGCTCGGGGATCCCACCAGCTAAGACAAAATCGACCCTTCATTCCTCCCAATCGGAACCTGGGTTTCAAAGAGGCCAAGATACAGAGACAAGACCGGCTGGAGCCTCTTCCTACGCTAATATTAGAAGGGATGGTTTGCGAAATCAAGCACCTAGCTCCCCACCGCCGCCACTAACTACATACACCCTTCCCATTCCCCTCCACGTTAACAAGGATATGGAGAGATGGATTCACAACACCACGCTTACTGGTGAGGTAATTTCATTAACATACCTTGGACATCTCCCAGCTTTAATGAAAATACATAGCGACATTGAGGTAGAAGTAAAATATGATGGACTTTTGCAAGCTATACTTAACTTCCAAAGTACGGTGGATATGAACAAATTTTTGGTAAACAAAAACAACCGGAAAGACTCATTCAAATTTTTGGAAAACAAAAACAATTGAAATACAAGTGTACTCCCAACTTTGAAGCAATCATTAACAAATTCGGCAAAATCTTGGTCACATACGATGGTGTTAAAGACCGAATTGACCTATCATGCGTTAAGCTTAGAATCCTTAGTGGAGTTAAAAGGAAGATTAATGACAAAATAATAGTCTGCTTGAACGACCAACTACTTTCAGTTGCGATCATGGAATACGAGGATGAGCCTTGGATACCATTCAAATACAACACAGACGATCAACCATATAAAAGTGAATGGGAAGAAAGATTTCCGGAAGAAAACAACTCAATGGAAGGGGACGACAATGATGACGCATCTTCTGATACCCCTACGAATGAGATGGAAGAAGGTGAGATATTAGAAACCCATATTGTCGGCAACTTGCCGGAAAATGCAAACGTAGCCACACCGGTGTTGCCAGCGAAGATGCTAAACTCATTAAAGTCCCCAATAATCGAGGTGACAGGACACACAACCCCATGCACGAACGAGATGGAAGTAGAAGGGGAAGATTCGTCTGGGGATAAGAACTTGGACGAGACATCGGTTGACTTACAAATTAGGTCAAACAGTTCTAATATGAATATCCAAGCCCATCTGTCTGCTACATTGGAAAATGTTCCTTTGGACAACCCAAACCCAATTTCACTTGTTAATGAATTGGCCCGTTTAGGAAGTTTCGAACCTTTCCCCAATCATCATTATGTGCTCACTGCTAATCAAAAATCCTCCCATAAACGGAAAAGTCTTCATAGATCGCTCTCACCCCCAATTAACAGAATCCCGTCATTCCCCTTATTAAACGATGAGTCCGACCAGAACTTAAAAGAAGCAGTGCTGCCGAAGATTACCACTACCTCTGACCGTACTCCGGCACCTCTCCTGACCTCCTTCACAGGGCATTTTTCCATTGCAGAACCCGAGATCATTGCAACGATTGGTAACCTAATTGGGTTTAGCATGACAGCAGCACACCCTATGTGTCACACCCCAAAACTTAGAACGGCGGAAACGTTCTGGGGTGGAGGACGTTATGTAAAGTATCACAACAATTCAAAGTAGTAAACAAGCAACAACATCATCCGTTGCATTAATAGTATAATTTTAATTACAAGTGTGTTCTTTCATAGTATTAAACAACAAAATGAATAATCAAAATAAAAGTCGAGTCTTAACTGCTCCGCCTTCACAAACCCTGGTCGTCGTACCTGTCTGTTTGTGACCTGAGAATACAAGTTATTTTGAAAGCGAGTATCAACATAAAGCTGGTGAATTCATAAGTATTTTAGTGTCATTGATTTGTAAGACTTGTAATGAAAGACTTGTAAAACCTTTAATGAAAGACTTATAAAAGTTGTAATGGAAGACTTGTAATTTTTTGAAGAAAAGTTTGTATAAGTTATGAAAATGTTTGTAAGTAATTGTATATGCTTGAAAACCCTAGAAAATCCCATATTTCCTACTAGTATAAAAAGAAGTCTTCTACCAAGACCCGACTATTTTGAAAGTATCCTTCTACCAAGACCTGACTGTTTTGAAAGTAGTCTTCTACCAAGACCCGACTGTTTTGAAAGTAGTCTTCTACCAAGACCCAATTGTTTTGAAAGTAGTCTTCTACCAAGACCCGACTGTTTTGAAAGTAGTCTTCTACCAAGACCCGACTGTTTTGAAAGTATGAACCTCTACTTAAGTGAAGGTTTTTCCTTGTACAACTATTATTATTCAAACCTAATCTACCTCATCGATTATGTGAATGTGACACAAAGTAAAGGTAATAAGAAAATTAATATAATAACTGAAATTGTATTCTTTTATATTTGTCGTATGTAAAGTGTAAGTACTGTAGTATTTGTAATAAGTGACTCCTATTGTACTAATTGCCTTAAAATGATTATTAAGGTATAATGTGATGGCTAGTTCTCATACTAAACGCTCTCCTTGTAAAAAGATTTTAGGAACCAAACGCGACCCCTGCAATGATTGCAAGACATGAACATCCACATTATTATGATCATGTATACCTAATATAACTATCACCTTTTGTTTAGAAGAATGCGTTAGTGATTCATTGGTATAATCAGATCATGTACTTGTTCCATGTTATAACACCTTATTATGTATGTTCTATTATCGTGTATTGTATCTCCTCATATGGCATGTAATGTATTAGTATTCTTGTAATTTTATTTCTGTAATTGTATCTCTTCATGTAGTAAGTATTGTATTAGTATAGACTCATGAATGAACTGACTCTCTGTGTGATTCCTTGTACTTGGAGTAGCAAGTAGTATCTCCTAACTATGCCTATTATAGTTACTAGTAATGTACGTGAATATCCAAAAGTATGCCTTTGCTAACCAAAGGTACTGAACTGACTGGGTAACTTTTATGTCTATATATGTATACTTGATATATAACTAATATTTAGACGACATTCGGACGAGTAACCGATGCCCTAAGGCCACATCCCAACGAGGAAAAGGAAATAAAGAGAGCTAGCCGTCCTAAGTCCTTTAAACATTACTTATATAACTATACATATATGGGCATGCATTTGACAATATAATAGTATAAAAGAAGTTTTGTAAAACCTTTGAGAAGTTTAAACTAAGAAATGATGACTTGATGTCAGTTTATAAAATAATTTGAAAGTAGTTTGTTTGATAAGACAACTTTAAGTATAAGAAAAACCTTGGTTTGAAACACAATTGTAACAGAGTTTGAAAGGAAACATACAGTATGTAAGACAATTTGATAAAGAGTTTTAACATCTAAAAACGTTTAAGAAAGTCATTTGAAGTAACATGTCTGGTAAAACAGCTAAAAGTGTAGTAAATCCATTTGTATGCTAGTTATTAATCACATGTGATTGATATAATAACTAACATGATTCAACTTGTATCCCCCCATAAAAGCATTTATAAACATTTAAAAACGTTTAAAAGGTTAATTAAGGGGTATGAACTCACCTGCAGTGAGTGGATCGTATGGAAGTGTCGAACAAGTGCTTGGTGTCAAGTGGAGACTTAAACACACACAATGATCCTAATAACATATAAATACATATGTATATATACAATTAGTGATTGTAACAATAATTAGACAAGAATAAATATCCTAATGCGCGGAAAACACTTTGGTCAAGTGCTAGGAGGCCATTGGGTTGCAACAAAGGATTGCAAGGCTTCGTATTTGTGTTTATGGTCAATAGACCATACTTATTGAAGTTTACGACCCAGGGGAGTTTACTCCTGGTCATAAACTCTCTAATGGGTCACCATTTGAGGCTTAAAGGCAAGGTGTCTTAAGTGGTTAAGTGTTCCAAGGCTTAAACAAGAGGCTACGTGAGTTTAAGGTCCAAAAATGACCCTAACTTGTGTTCACGGCATGGGGACCACTTCCCCATGAGTTTACAGCCGTAAACTCATGGTGTGAAGTACCAAATCGATGTTTGAAGTCCCTAGCTCAATGGGGTATGGTTCTTGACTAAGTTCCAAGACTTGGTAAGGGACTAGGGTGCATTTTGCCCCACTTATAGGGGTTTACGGCCCAAGAACATGTCTTGGCTGTAAACTCCTTTGATCACATGATTCTTTATGATTTCTAAGCCCTACACATGTTAAACCTAGTGTACAACGAGTTAGAACAAGAGTACTTACGATCTAGGCGCTTGAATGGTCGGTTTTGGCCAAGAACACTAGTGTGTGTTCTTGGTGAAACTTGAAGATCTACAAAAATGGAATGATTTCATGGATGAAATCATGTAAGATCACTAGTTCATGTAAGATATCAACTAGTTAGGATGAGAAACTTATGATTTTTGAAGACCGGGGACGAAGATCAGGATGATACTTGAGAGGATTTGGGAGGAAATCAGCCAAGGAAGTGAAAGAATGAAACAGATGGCCAAGACTTAATTATATAGGGGGAGTTTACGGCCCACATGGATTTTACAGCCGTAACCTCCCTTGCGGTGGCCGTGAACTCCTTGTCAAGGGGTTTCAGACTTGTTCTTTGAGCTACAACTTCAACAGATAAACCCCGACACTTATCCCTTAAGTGTACAAGGCTCAGAACGCTCAAATAAACTCCAATTTGTGCTAAATGATAGCAGGTTGTGTTTGACTTTCAATGAAGTATTTGACTGTACAGGATAGAAATTTCCAGGTTGTCACATCATCCCCATGTTAGAGGGAATTTCGTCACGAAATTAGAATTTAGGTAAATAAGTAGGTATGAATAATCAAGTAATGAGGTGGGGATACTTCCTATTCGCTTGATTCTCGCGCTCCCAAGTGAATTCAGGTCCTCGGTTAGCATTCTAGCGAACCTTCACTAAAGGGATGCGGCGTTGCTTCATTCGTCTGATCTCTCGGTCTATGGTCACTACGGTTCTTTCACGAAAGTGAGGCTCTCGTTGGACTCGATCTCGTCGAGTGGGATTACAAGAGTCGTGACGGAAAGGTACTTTTTCAAGTTCGAGTCATGGAGGGTAAAATGTACGTTACTGAGTTTGCGAGTAGGTTGAATTTGTGAGTTACAAGGCTGATTTTGGCAAGAATCTCGAAGGTCCTAACTATCTTGGATTTAGCTTTCCACGCTTTCCGAAGCGTATCAAGCCTTCCTAGGGTAAGACTTTCAAAAGAAATTGGTCTCTCACTTGGAATTCCAAAGGTTTTCTTCCTATTGCTTCTCTTCCTAGTCAAGGGATGCTCCCTTCTGGGTCAAAGTCGTAAGAGGTTCCGTAATTCGCGAGGAGTTCTAAATGAACTACGATAGTAGGTCAGCGAGGCCTAGAATTTTGTGAATTCCCGTCGACATCTTCGGTGCTGACAAATTCTCAACGGTTTTTATTTTGGAAGGGTTCTCATGAATTCCCACATCACTAATATTGTGTCTTAGGAATTCGACTCTTGAATTCCAAAGCTTGTATTTAGAGAACTTCGCGTCGTGCTTATCTGATCGTAATGTTTCCATGGTTTCTTGTAGATGCTCTTTATGATTTCCTTCTTACTATGAGAGTAGATAAATAAGGCATTTATAAGGACAATGACGAACTGATCCAAGTAAGAATGGAGAACCCTATTCATTAAGTTCATGAATACTACGGGCGTATTGGTCCTATCCGAGGGGTATCACTACGGACTTGTAGCATCCGCATCGAGTTTGGAAGATTGTCCTTGGGACACTCTTATCTGATACTCGCAACTGGTGATATTCGGATCTCAGGTCCATTTTTGAAAGGTACATCGTTCCATGTGGTTGGTCGACCAATTCATCTATGCGAGGCAAAGGGTAATGATTTCTAATGGAAATCTTGTTGAGGTCTCCGTAGTCGATGGACCTACGAAACAATTTGTCTTCCTTCTTGAAGAATAAGACTGGAGTTCTCCAGAGTGAGAAGCTTGGTATTTTAATTCCATTGCTGAGTAGTCGTTAAGCTATCCGAATGGTTCTTGTATCTCTATGGGTGTTAGACTGTAGGGCGATCTAGTTACAGGAGTCGTATTGGGTTCTAAGTTTGTTCGCATGACGATGAGATTACTCGTAGTCTTGGGCAGTCTCCGTCCTGAAGTTCATATTAGAAGTCATACATGGTTCATCATGTTGGATAAGGTGTCTAAGTCCATAACTTATTTGGTATATACTTGACCCGACCCGGCATGGTCCATTTGGGTTGCACTTCACCCAAACGATTTATGGATAATTTTATGAGAATTGTATACTTACGATTTATTAATATATCATAAGTTATAATATATTAATATGAAGTCATGTTATTTAATTAGTTTTAGTCTTAAATTAATTATGAATTAATTTAGAGATTAAAAAGAAGACTGATTAAATTATGGGCTATTATATTTTATATAGTGTGGGCTAATACTCATTTGTTAATGGGCTAAGCTAATATGGAAGTCCATGGATGATCCATGCAGCTTTTAACCCATGGATCCTTGGAAAGGAAAAGACATGGGTTATTAGGGTTTCACCCTAACCATGCACACTATATAAAGAAGCATATGATGCAAGAAATGAGACTCTAGTTGTGTGAGACTTAGTGG